ATATTTCTCGCCAAAAATTTCTAATTACTAATTATGAATATATATTAGCCGAAATTTTCATATATAATGCTTATGTTTTTTGGAACTTTTTAATTAATATTAAAACAAATTTCTTAGCCGCAATTTCCATATTTAATGCTTATTTTTTATAACTTTTTTATTAATATGGAAAAATATTCCTAATTTAATTTAACATCATTCTTTAACAAAACTAATTAGCATAAATCTGAATATGTTAAGATTCTTATTTTTTGAAACATTGAATTATTATGAAATTAATTCTCGGTCTTGATTTTATAAAAAATCAACTTAATTCCTTAGTTAAAATAATTAGCAAGCTAGCTAAAAATTTCATTTTCAGTTCGAACACTTTGTTGGTTCTTTTTCTTTCTTTTTTTTAGAAAATTTGTTGGGAAATCAATCAATATATGAAATACTTTTGTTTGAAAAATGCAGGCCAATATATTGGTTTTTTGGCATGGGTTTCAATATTAATTTCAACTTTTTGTATGAAATTATCGTAATGAAATTAAAGTAACTTCGACAAAATAATATAAACGATTCTTTGATATAATGTGCGTGTCTCGATATTTTTTTTATATAGAAAATCCTCTGGTCAAATTTTTATTTGTATAATCAGTGGATCTCGATTTAATCCATTTTTTGTAACGACATTTCTATAAGGAAGTTTTTAATGATGTATAATATTATTTTTTATTCTATTTATTTAGTTTTTTTATTCACAAATATAATTATAAGATTGGATAAATAACCATAAAAATGTCCACCCCGTGCATCGCACGGGATTTGCACTAGTTAAAAAAACTTAGTTATTATTCAACTACATCACAAGTTGTATTCCTTGTGAACATTTTTATATTAAAAGAGATTACATAAATTAGCATAATAAAGAATAGGATATTGCAATGAAAGCAATATTTAACAACATTATAATGGGAAACATTAGCATTAAAAGTCGTTTAAAATAACAATATTTTTTTTAATAATAATAATAATAATAATAATAATAATAATAATAATAATAATAATAATAATAATATGGCAATGTCAAATAAGATTCATCACAATAAGCTAAAATAGCATCATCATTTTTTGTAGTATATCAATTTATTTTAATGAACGTGAGTTTCCTTTTATGAACTAATATGTCATTCCTAATATGGAGATGCAACTAGTTAAGGTAGGATGTCTAATAATCTGACTTTCCTATCTTACTTTTATTTCTTGCCATTATATAATTTTGTCCTTCAATCTAGACAATTGATTATGATGTGATAAAGGGTTAGGATTGGTTCTTAGTTCTTACACTAAGAAGGGTTTTTATTGGATATTTCTTTAGAGAGCATTGTACACACTCAATATCGAAATTGAAGGATGTCAGAATAGTCCGTATTTAAAATAAAGAATAGAAAACATTATTTTATTATGGTAAAGACAAACTTAGCATGCATCAGTTTAATTTAAACTAAAATTATAAAATAATACCAAATTCATCATCAAAACTTTTGAAATCCTTGACTAATTTAAACCGAGCACTAAAAAATCCTCCCTATATATAATTTCCGAATGTGTTGAGCCTACGTGGCTGCTTCTGGTGCTTCGTAATCTTACTTGGCGAAGAATCATGCTTCGTAATTAGGTTTGGACAAATAATATTGATATATAAATAATTAATAATCTAGGTTCGGGTATTCCATAAATATTATTTAGCTAACTTAGGTATTTTAATATCACTTGTGCTAATATAACCATTTAATTCTTTATAATTTTATATAGTGAGGCACTAAGTGACTAAAATATCCATGAATTTTGATTTGTTTCCTTCAATAAGCTATTGAATTATAAATGCATTTTAAAAGTTGATAACTTTTGTATTTCTTATCGGTTTTACATATATAATATATCAAATTAATCATCTTTTGATGATTTTCGATTTGACATCCATATTGTATATATATGAAATAAATCAATTGTATTTATCTTTATCTTTATAATAATAAAAAATAATAATATTTATTAAAATTCATTAGAAAAATAAAATTATTTCTCAATTGATATATTTATATTTAATGTAGTTATATATTGTAAGTTAAAAAAATTAGTATAATATATAACATAGGTAAGTCGCACAAATAAAAAGTGTCATTATAAATATATAATAATATATATTCTTATAAAAGGTATTTAAATTTTTAAACTATTTTTTCTCATTAATTTTAGATTTTAAGAAAAAAATTAGCAAGCACCCGTGTAATACACGGGTGTTGTACTAGTAAATCATTAAAATCTAAAACAAACCTTGCTTAATTTAATGATCGAACCCACAAGATATGTGAAGTCTTCACGATCTTCAAAATATTTCTAGGTATTGATTGCAAATCATGAGGTAAATCGACCAAAACAGTCATTTTTTGAAAAGATGGATCCATCAAGATAGATTAGGGTTGTGTTCAAATCTAGCTAGTTAAATTTGGAGAGTATACTCGGTTTTCTATTTTTTGTGAATTTTTCTGAAAAAATGACCGAAATTAGAGAAGATGGTTGCGGCGAGAGTTTGGTGAAGGCGTCTAGAAAACGAGTTAGGGTTATACTTTCCCATATTTTATATGTAAAACGAACATATTTCAGCCGTCGGATGGAATCAATTTATCTGAGGCGTTCGATCTGTTTTATTTTTTATTGAGCTTGTACATTTTAAAAACAGTAATTACCAATTAAGTTTTTTAATAACACTTCGAAATAATTTTTTATACTTATAGGATATGTCCTCCTTGATTTAAAGTAAAATAGTGGCTAAATACAATTTCAATAAAAAAAAATAATAACTTTCACCATGATCAAGTTGAAACATGTGAAAAAACAAAGAAAAATGTGATTAACATGGTTACGCGGCATTGCAAAGGAAAAAAAAAATAAAGGAAAAAATTGGAAGGAACGTATTTTTTTTTTTTAACAAACATCAAATTTCAATAAACGAAAATTCATAAGAGTACATCCGATGAACCAACGGGTTACAATCCAAGACTCCCCACAAGTAGAGAGAAAGATAAAGAGAGTAAATAAACATACTCCCCAACAAGGCCAACACTGGCCACAAGCTACAAAAAAAA